GTATAGGCGCCTATCATCACCTGGTGAAGCCGTAGTAGAGGCGCCTATCATCACCTGGTGAAGCCGTAGTAGAGGCGCCTATCATCACCTGGTGAAGCCGTAGTAGAGGTGGCTGTTGTCAGGCATGGACCCAGGACGCCACACGACCCTGGCGGAGGGCGCGTGTCCGCAGTACAGCGACTCGCTCCACTTGCCGAAGAGGTTGTGCAGGACGGCGCCCGTCGTGTCGTCCACGATGGTGCCGTACACTTCGTGCCGCTTTGACGACCACGAGCTCGCCTGAACATGAACAATTTTACACACTTTAAGAACGTCACTGAAATCTCATTATAAGAATTAATTAACAATATGTACTGAAAAATGTAATGAACCAGTGCAAAGATTTGCATGGCCTTCTCGTACATCTTAATTTAAAATGAGCCTGCAGCGATAATACCCTTAACTGATCAACAATTGTACAACAAATATGATTCTCAGTTTAGTGCAACACTGAAGAAGTGGCGTGAAGTTAAGGGTAGGAAAATTCTCGCTCAAATGATGAATTGGCTAGAAAAAGATAGCATTTTTATGGTAATTCGGGATAAATTAGACATTACACGATTTTTGTTGAGCTCGAGTTGACAATGAATTCTATTATATGAGGAGAGATGAATCAATGGCATATTAGCCATAACATTAGGTGCTAATAACCAAGATATTTATATCTGCATGCAAAAATTTACGAGAGTCCTACTGCCTAGTTTATCATAACTCATTTCATGATACACTAAAAAATTTCGAATTATTGATGAGGGGCAGCATGGTTATGAACCGTATTCGGATCAAAGTTTTAAAAAGTGATAATAGAGCCCTAGATACACGCAATAGCGGATACATGTGGCATAAAGGAGGTTTGGTGTAGATATTGGGAAGACGCTTCAGTAGCTGATGCCCAGAACGCTAACGTTGTCACACTTTAAGGCTAACGCTCATTAGTTTACTTTGCCTACTGACTCTATGGAAGTAGAAGCTGACCTTGAGTAAATTGAGTCTGACCTTGAATAAAGTGAGGCTGACCTTGAAGAACTTGAAGCTGACCTTGAATAAATTGAGGCTGACCTGGAGTGAATTGAGGCTGACCTTGAGTAAATTGAGGCTGACCTGGAGTGAATTGAGGCTGACCTTGAGTGAATTGAGGCTGACCTTGAGTAAATTGAGGCTGACCTGGAGTGAATTGAGGCTGACCTTGAGTTCTTGAGTGAATTAAGGCTGACCTTGAGTAAATTAAGGCTGACCTCGAATAAATTGAGGCTGACCTTGAGGAAGTTTAGTCTGCATGTGAGGTGCTCAGGAGCGTTGGTGATGACCGCCTCGCCGTACTGGTCGACCCAGCGCGCGCCGCCCCCGAACAGGTTATGTACACACGACGTCACTTTGTTCCACTCGTACACGTCTGCGTGCTGGTGGAACGTCAGGTGCACCGTACCTGCAGTGCGGCAAGGGCTCAAGTCTGACACAGTTGTGACATCAACACAAAAATTTCATCCTGGGAATTATTAAGATGTGCATAACTCATACGAACAACTGATGACATCAACAAAAAAATTAATCCTGGAAGGTTTGAGGTGTGCATAATACATACAACTGATGGCATCAACAACAAAAATTCATTCTGGGAACTATCAAGATGTGCATAATACATATCCATGAAAAAACCCCATACTCCATAGCCAAGAAAATTTAGAGTTCCATGTAGAACTAGAAATGGGATCATTCCATGAGAAATGAAACATGGATGAGCTGGCCCACATGAAGTTTTATATGAAGGTCACCCTGCATGACTTCGAGCCCAAGACAACGTAGCCTAGAAAGATGTGAAGGGATTTTTCAGCTAAAGCAGTGACTATTGGACATTATGGACTCAACATTACAATAGCTTCTACTGCTTTTACTCCACACAACAAATAAATTTATCTCTGATGATCTCAGGAACAAGTTTTCCAACGTTTAAAAATAAATAATAGATTTCATATTATATTTGGGTGATGTTGTCCACATGAATAGTTCTTTAACCAATTTACCTTGAGTTTAACACAGATAAATATATAGGCAGCATATACTCACCACAAGTTTGAGAGGCACACTTATTCAAACAAATCAATGTAAGTTATTACGCAAAGGAGTAACGATGAGATGGCTTCGCAAACTTTTTAGCTAAAATTTATGCAAAAGTTTATTCATGCGACACATAATTCCGCGAAAAATTTAATGAAATCCATTATATCCTCTGAAATAAATGGGAATTCGAAACTTTCCTGTTGAATAATTATATAATATAGTCTGACAGCGCCAAATTTCTATCAAGAGTTGTTTCCTTGACATGGACGAAATTTCGTCTAGTACATACATACAATCTAGTACATACATACAATCCAATAATGACCAAGTAGGTAAGAAAACGTCTATATGAGCGAAAAGACGGTGATTAAATAGGTCGAAAATTTACACTCCAAAAGGATAGAAAAAAAGTTTAGATAAAAAGACATTTAGAAACAAAAACATTCGACAGATTATAAAAATAAAAAAATGCCAAGACCACGACCGTTAGACAGGACAACACCTCACCAGAAGGTTGGAACTCGAGGCTCTTGCCCCAGAATTTAGTCTTGATTCTGACGTCCTGCCAGAGCGTGAAGTTGGAGCCCGTGACGTGACATGCAGCCACTGGCGGGTGGTGGCTCACCTGAAGATTAAAGTCAGCGAGTCAAGGAAACTTCACTGTCAGCATATAAATCACTTGAAGTCTACACATCAAGAAGTAATGGCTTACATGAAATTAGACGCCATTTCAACAGAATAACATATATAAAGCCAGTATATCCAAGCCCAATAAAATAATGGCTTCAATACAAAACAAGTAATTGAAAAAGAAAATCATATTTCAAGCTAGTATATCAATCGAACTCTAGATTAAGTAAAAAATAAAACTTCTTCACAACAAAAAGCTATTGCAACATAAAGTCCACTTGAGTTCACTGTAGCCTGTACACTGACCTGCTCTGCGACGAACTTGAAGCCCTTGTCTTCCCTGATGCACTCGTAGGTCTCCCCCAGCAGGGGGTTGAAGGGCTTGTGCGCCGCCCTGTGTATGCTGGACGCGTATGCGCTCACAGCGAACGCCGCGACCTGCACCATGCGCTCGGCCGGGTCCTTCAGACCTGCCGCCTTGTCCAGCAGCTCGCTGTACTCCAGCTCCTCGCATACGCGCTGCTCAACACAAACCTTCATAATACCGGTACATCTATTTTGTGCTATTCTATTTTGTACTATTCTACTTTGTGCTCATCTATTTTGTGCTCATCTATTTTATGCTATTCTACTATGTGCTATTCTACTTTGTGCTCATCTATTTTGTGCAATTCTACTTTGTGCTCATCTATTTTGTGCTCGTCTATTTTGTGCTCGTCTATTTTGTGCAATTCTACTTTGTGCTATTCTATTTTGTGCTCATCTATTTTATGCTCATCTATTTTGTGCTCGTCTATTTTGTGCTCATCTATTTTGTGTTCATCTATTTTGTGCTCATCTATTTTGTGCTCATCTATTTTGTGCTCATCTATTTTGTGCTCATCTATTTTGTGCTCATCTCTTTTGTGCTCACTGGTGTGCAAGATTATCGGTTACTAACCATGTTTAATTATGAGTTTATGTTGAAACATCGTATATTTTGTACAGCAAGGCAGACTTTTTCAATGCAAACAAGTTTCGATGCAGGCAAGCTTTTTCGATGCAAGAGGGTAGGTTTAGTAACAATTTTTAATTTTTCATGAAATTGTTCATCGGTCATGAACTAAACTTGCACTAGAGCACTAAATTATGTCCACATGAATTGATCCATCTTCAATTAGAAATTAATTTAGTCCTTCAAAAGGCGAACTTGGAGCAAGTTAACTATTACGCAAGTTAACCATTATTATTATCAAACAATACTTTACTGGCGTCCAGATGGCCACCAGACAGCTGGCGCCCAGATGGCCACCAGACAGCCGGCGTCCAGATGGTCACCAGACAGCCGGCGTCCAGATGGCCACCAGACAGCGGGCGTCCAGATGGCCACCAGACAGCGGGCGTCCAGATGGCCACCAGACAGCCGGCGTCCAGATGGNCTCAGTGGCAGCGTCACTAGTGGTGCCAGACGCACAACTAACTTTCATTGAGCGCCTCAGTGGCAGCGTCACTAGTGGTGCCAGACGCACAACTAACTTTCATTGAGCGCCTCAGTGGCAGCGTCACTAGTAGTGCCAGACGCACAACTAACTTTCATTGAGCGCCTCAGTGGCAGCGTCACTAGTGGTGCCAGACGCACAACTAACTTTCATTGAGCGCCTCAGTGGCAGCGTCACTAGTAGTGTCAGCCGCACAACTAACTTTCATTGAGCGCCTCAGTGGCAGCGTCACTAGCGTCACTAGTAGTGCCAGACGCACAACTAACTTTCATTGAGCGCCTCAGTGGCAACGTCACTATCGTCACTAGTGGTGCCAGACGCACAACTAACTTTCATTGAGCGCCTCAGTGGCGGCGTCACTAGCGTCACTAGTGGTGCCAGACGCGGGAGACGAGCGGTCACTGGAAGAGTCAGAGATGTTGCCATCACTGCCACGGCCGTCCTCGCCCCTGGCAGCGCCCTCAGGGGCGTCGAAGTACTCAGAGGCGCTGAAGCAGGAGCTCGACTCGTAGCTCAGACTGGGCGCCAGGGGCGCGTGGGAGCGGTCGTCGGGGGGCGGCGCGGTGGGCGCCGGCAGCAGCGAGATGTCCGCATCAACGTAGATCCGGGAAAGTCTGTTTCGCAGCTCTGTGTTTTGCAGAATGGCCTGGGGTTTGAATGGAAATTAATTTTAATTCATTTCGAGAAGATGCGTTTAGAGCTTCAATGTTACGGTACCTATTGATAGAGAAGGAAAGTTTACATAGAAAATTTAAATTCTGTCCTTGAGGACAAAAATAGAGCACTGACTATAATTGCAAAAACACGTTAATATATGTAAGATTAGTAAATTAGGTTAAATTTTGGAAAGATAACCCATTTTTGTTAGCAGTGCAATGCATTCTGGATATATGATTAACAAACAAGTATACATCGTTGCTAGAAAGTGCACTGTTTTGCCATAGCAAAAAAGACGGGGTCTTTCTTTGAATTTGATAAAACTAAACGTTGAGTTTCTTAGAAAGCAGGGATTACGAAACTCAAGGAATTGCAATGTTACGGCTTCACCACGACACTCATGCTCGAGCTAAGCACAATACTGATACTTCACAACTTTTACTACAATCTGAAACCCAAGAAATATCAGAAAATGCAATGGATATCCACAAATCCGAGCATAAAAACATGTGTGATTATTTTTAACAGTCCGAAACTCTCTAAATTTAACAAAGAATTCAGACTGACTTCTCATTTTCGAATCTAAAAAGTGAACAGGAACAACTTTAGGTATATTTAGATGAGTAAACAACAACTTTAGGTATATTTAGATTAGTAAACAACAACTTTAGGTATATTTAGATGAGTAAACAACAAGTTTAGGTATATTTAGATGAGTAAACAACAACTTTAGGAATATTTAAGTAAGTAAACTAAGACAAGGCTAAGCAAAGATACGAATGAAGCCTGACCGCGTTGAGGTGCTGCGTTAGGGTGGCGATGGTGGCGGCGGCGGCGTCGCTATGACCGCCCACGGCTGCTGACGCCACCGCGCGCTGTAGCTGCTCCCTCTCAGCGCACAGGCTCGAGTACAGCGACTGCAGCTGACTCAGCACTGCTCAGCACATACAGTATACTTTATCACTCACTCTCATCACTCTTAGCACAGTATAACTGCACTCACTCTACCACACATACCAGACGCCCGACAGTATACGTTATCACTCACTCTCATCACTCTTAGCACAGTATAACTGCACTCACTCTACCACACATACCAGACGCCCGACAGTATACCTAATCACTCACTCTCAGCACTCTTAGCACAGTATAACTGCACTCACTCTGCCCAGCCAGCACGGCGAAGTCTTCCCCTGAGGTTGCCCTTCCTCCCCCTCCGGGCAGCGGGGCGTGGGTGGCGTCCAGGGAGATGGACGGCGGGCCAGAACCCCCCGGGGGATACAGACTCCCCCCGTGCTGGGCAATTATAACAGATTCATTACAAAACGAGTACTCTCTCTCTCTTAGTTGTACCTACATTTCTAATTCTTTGTAAAGATAATGACATGCCAGATCACAAATTCTAGTACAAATCCAAACTTCTCAAGTGCACTGAAAATATATTAATAAAATACTAATAAACAAACATGTCTAGTCATTGTAATTATGAATATCAAAAAAATCATGTTATTAATTCTTAAATTGTTCGGCAGAAGAAACTGTTGCCGCCTGACATACAAGCAAGTTAGCCGCTGAGGAGGTCGAGTTGAGTGTCGTGGTGGAGGCAACGGCGGTTTGGTTGCATTGGTTGCTGGCTTGGTAGAAGCCTCCTGCGAGCGCCGTGACGTTGGTGGAATACGAGTGGTTCGAGGCGCCGTCCGAGCAGCTGGGCGGGCGGGAGTTGGTGGAGTTGGCGGAGGAGTGGGTGGAAAGAGGGGCTGATGGGGGGAAGAACTGGGGGGTACTTGGAGGGTTGGGGAATGAGGGGTTAGGCGTCGTCTGGGACAGGGCGGGGTTGCTGTTGCTCAGCGGGCGCAAATCGATCAGGTTGCCGCCAGCCTGCATTTTAAATAACGGGTTAAATTGCATGGACTTCACCCTGGCACAAGACAGATGACCAAAAATTATTTCAATTTGTAAATGGTAAGCAGCTAATCATTAAGTTCATTTTGAATAGTTTAACGGCTGCTTCGTTTCAGGAACTTTTATATTCCCAGTTAGCAAAATAATATAAATTGAGTCAGAATTGCAATCCAAGCAGCTCAAAAACTAACCAAACTTAAGTATTTTGTCAAGAGTTTCCAAGAGAAACCTGCCGGAATTCGCGACACTCGCCATTGAGCTTTGCTGCAACAGGAGCTGCTGCGTGATGTCCTCGGAGCGCGTCGACGACCTGTCCCCAGGCTGCGACAGCTGGTGCAGGAGGGGAGGAGGAGCGGAATGCAAGCCCCTCATGGAAGCCTCAGGGGCCGTCAGGGGCGAGGGGACGAGAGGGACCTGCCCTCCTGCCGCCGGCGCGAGGTCCTGACTCAGGCTGTTGCTCGCCGACTTTTGGCTTTGCTTTTTGCGCAAACGGAATTTGCGGCGTGTTTTCGTAGAGGACGGAGTAACAGGCTCAGGCTGAACAAGCAAGATGAATGTCATTATGAGCTAGTAATGAATCTAAATGGAAAGCCAACAAATGCAAGGCATTCTCAGAAATTCTGAAGCACAGATGCAAGGCCGAGAGCATTAAGATCCGCAAGCCAAGCATAAATTGCAGCAAAATTCCTCACATGGAATGAAAATTTTGTATGATATTGAAATTGCTAAGCAAGAATCATTAAAATTCTAACCAGTAAACAAGAAAAAACCCGTCAGAATGAGGTTTCTTTAATGGTGGCTATATTGCGTGCTGGTTGTTATGGTGGTGCAGGGTGATGTTCTGATGGAGGCTACATCTCCTGTTGGTTGTGGTGCAGGGTGAGGTTCTGATGGAGGCTACCATCACCTGTTGGTTGTGGTGCAGGGTGAGGTTCTGATGGAGGCTACATCACCTGCTGGTTATGGTGCAGGGTGAGGTTCTGATGGAGGCTGCAGAGCTGATTTAAGGTTCTGTCAGCAGCAGCGAAATAAGAGCTCAAGCTCGCCAAAGACGATCCATCCAGCAGCCAAGGTCTCAGCGTCCCACCCCCAACTTCTGCAATAATTGATAAATTTCACATATACTCCAGACAAATAAAAAAAACAGAAGCAGTTAATAAGTTAAAATAAGTTATTTTAAGCACATCTTATGCAGTAACTCTAATCATTAGAGTATTTTAAGGTCTTATTTTAACATATTTAAATACATTCCTCCTACAAGATCATTAAATGTATCCAAAACTTCCTTAGTTTTAGTCTGTCATTAATTTGAACCTGTTCTCCTGAATCCTTCTTATAAACAGCAACTGACCACTTCTGACAAGGGTGCCCGTTAATGACCCAGGAAGGGCAGCGGAGTTTGGTCCCAGGCATGGAATACCCCCCACTGGCTCTGGGAGGAGAAGGGGCAAGGGTGCAGGGTGCAGGTTAACGGTTAACTGTTATCTGTTAACTGTTAACCGTTAACTGTTATCTGTAAACTGTTAACTGTTGACCGTTAACCGTTAACAGGGTAGACAGGGTCAGGGGTAGACAGGGTATAGTGAAGCGGTAAGCAGTGTACCGCAGCTCCCATTTCTTTAAATAAAGTTTTCAAAATTTAGGAGAAAGCAAGGTTGATGATTTATAAAGTATCAATTCATGACTTTCAGAAGGAGCAAAGTCTTTTACATAGCACAATTGATGCAAGCACGGACTTTAAGCAGCTTGAGTACATCTTTAATTCCAAAGGAAGGGTGAACAAGGGGAATAAACAATACCTTTAGGCTATGTGTATTATACATCTTTGGAATAAAGTTTTTAGTTATCTAAAAACAAAGAAACGACATTATTGCCCAACTGTTTCTCAAATTATTTAAATATCAGATTGTAAATTGAGCCTCTAAAACATCATTTAAATTAAATTGGCACTTTAATCATAAACAAATGAAGCTTTTGGACTTGAACAAGACAACAACCACCATGCATCTGACATAGATGCAATATTCGTAACAGTTGCTCTTGGCGGACCATGTAAACAGCATCAATTCTAAGCCAGATACCTGAAGAACGGTGAACAAGTGGGAACTACTGAAACTTGTTAGAGCAGCAAGTCATAAAGAAGCCTTGACAATTGAATTAGATAGGCAAGGTAAGAAATGAGTGCTTTTTCTGCAGGATTTCCTACTAGAGGAGTCACACCAGTAGGGGAGTCATCAGAAGGGGAGGCTGGGGACAGAAGAGCAGGAACGCCAGAGCCGGGGGAAGGATGCTCGCTGTAGAGCATCTGGTGCTGCTTACGTAGTCTGTGCTGCTTCAGCTGTTCCACCCATTGCAAGTAGTTTTCCTGCGACTCACACTGTCAATAAGAAACAATTTCTTCTAATTTGTTACAAAGATAAGGTGAAGTAAGGGTTAAAAGTTCCATCTAGCATCTTGAAACAGAATAACTCATTTTTTGATAGCTTCTTAAATTGGATGTTCACATTCACCTTCCCATTTTTAGCGCATTTTCTCATTTATGGAAAAAATGCACTATTGTGCTCGCCATATCCAACCGTCCGGCTGTCTGTCTGTCCGTGACCTCACGTTTTCGTCAACGAGAAAATGCGCGCTCTGTCACTCAGTGCAGTGAGTACTGACTTATATTTTTGTATAATGCATCTAAAATCAAACTACCTAGCAAATGGAAGCCTGCAAAAACAAAGCTTTTCCTTTAAGAAATTTTTTCTTAGATGCAAAATAAATATTTTCTCACTCTTATATGGAGGATATTGGCATCAGCATCAATATCTATTCTTCGTCGGGATGCCTTGGTGCTGATAACAGAAAAACCAATGTCCATGGAGCCATGCTTCTTGCCTCTGGCCAGATCTGCTGCATTCTTAGCGTAGGTTAGGATGCTCTGCTCCAGTACAAAATACCTCTGTTGGTAAAAGTAATCAGTCAGTAAATTTATTTTTCAATATTTTGGTTCACAAATAAAATCTAACCAAAATTACGGTACAGTTGGTCACAGAACATTTCATTTGTGCAATGAAATGACACATTCAACTATTGTGTTACTGAAACATCATCCCCAATTATTATTCCAATAGCATTTTGATTGAATAAACACTATCAGCAACTTATTCCTGTCATGCATGAGCTATGGTAAAAAAAATCACTAACTTTATTGCAAAAATACTTTTTGAGACAAATGAATCATTATTTAAAATTCATAAGAAACAGTTGTGAATAAAAAAAAGTATGTATGTAAAAGTAATGCATAAAACTTTTCATTTATACCTCAAAGTTGCAGAAAATCACAGTGAACTGTTACCAAGGCACAAGTTATAGATTTCAAACTGCCAAGTGCTCATAGGTTTGTAATAAATATTTCTCTAAGCCTGAAATCGACATTGTCCAAGATATTGCACTGAATAAAAGTATAACTTTGTGTCAGACATCTCAACAGAAACAAAATGTCTCTGCTTTGGATTTTAGATGGATTTGGGCACTTGCAATACACAAAAGGCTATGAAATATTACACATATCATCAGATTAAACTGGCAAGTAATTATTGAAATACCAACCTTATGCCATCCTTTGAGAGGCCACTTGCGTCTCTTGTGGAGAAAGCCTTCAAACTTCCCAGGTGTGAACTCAAACCTCTGACCTTGCTTAAGGCCAGAAAGAATTTCCCATTCTCCTTTCTTTGTGACTGTAACATAAAAATTTGATGAATGCATGAATCTGATTACATCTCTAACAAATTTATAATTGAGCAATATCCAAAACATTGAAATGAATGTTAAGTTTAAACTCAGCTATCTAATGGAAAAAGAATTTAAATGACCAATAGCTTGATTTCTATAGGTCATCAAAGTATCTTTAGATTCAAACACCCTCTTGATTGACACACTTACAAACCTCAACACTTGAGGTGAAATAATATTGCCCTCCAAACTGAATCCTATAACTCTATTGGATGTCAAATGCCACATTCCATGCATTCACCAGGCTGGTCTGAACTTCTACACAGTAAATCCATTTCCCTCTATCAAGTCGGCTATCATTTCATGATATTATGGAAAGTCTTTATTAATAAGGTCATGAAGGTAGACACTATTAATTCAGGATAGGGTAGTTAATTGATATCCTCAATACTATCAACCATTACTAATAAATAATGGCCAAGTGATATCTCTGCATAAGAATGTTGTTTCAAAGAACACATGCTTCTCATTTCAAAATGAAGCCCAGGTGGGTAGGTGGGCAGTTTCTATGGCAGGTATATATACATATATTTCAGCTGCAACTCTACTTGTTATATATGGCCTGAATTTTTGATTTTATACCCATCTTCTAATGTTGGGCACATATGAAAAAAACTTCCAAATGCTTTATCATTTTATTTTTATTTATAAAATTAATTAAATAATTTTAGCATTGCAACTTTACAAATTGGAGCTATTAATGATAATCTCACCTGGTTGATGCTGGTCATAGGATCTTGATATATGCTGCGAGTCTCCTGAAACGCTATTGCTATCAGCAGATCCATCCTGAAACAAGTAATTAAATCTAAATCAGGCAAGAGAATGAACAATTGAGTATTGGTATCATCAAACAGGAAAATAAGGTTCCAATTTCATCTATTCATATGGCTTTTTCCTAATTTCTTCATGGGAAAATAAGAAAAATGATCTATTTTTGCATGGGATTGCTTTTTTAAAATTGCCTGAGAAACATAGTGTCAACCCAGAGATTTTTTAGAATTGCCTAGTTCATTTTGAACCTCCTCATCTACTCAAGATTTAAACAAATATATTGAAGATGAAAGTGATGATATCCATGATTACATTATTTACATGTTAGCCTACTTCACTGGTCTACTTGTGAGACAGTGGGACTCAAAAAGAAATTAGGAAAAGTATAAAAAATTCTCTGCTTTAACACCATGGCACAGTGTGAAATGATCATTTTCATCTGCAATTTTAGGAAAATTTTACCCAATATTCCACATTGTCATAGAGGCAAATCAGAGGTTTTTCAGAATCAGTTCATTTTTAATGTCCTTATCTACTCAATATTTAAACCAATATCTCATGTATGATAATTCTGGTACCATCCATGACACTTTGCTAAATTGCTAGTCTACTTAGACTTTAAAAGACTCAAAGTTGAACTTGAGGAAGAGTCTAAAATACTCCTTGCTTTGCCTCTGTGGTCAAACTATACTCTGTACCAAGTCTATAATCTATAGTGATAACTCACTGATTCAGATCCATGTTGCAGCAGCTGTTGAACAGAAGCAGAAGCCAACTTAAGCTTATTTTTTTTGCGTCTCTGCAAGGTCGGCTTTCTTGAACAGCCCTCCATTTCTTGCAGGGAACTTACACTTTATCAATGCATAGAAAGTTTTTAGAGGAATTTTGATCTGTAAATTTTTTTTACCAAATTTAAGAAAAATTGCTTGGCATTTGGCTAACAATAACATGTCATTCTGCCGTACTTTTGCGACAACTACAGAAACTGATGGCATTAACACTGCAAGTGCTGAAAGGCATGGATGAAGCAAGCAGAATATGGTTTCGGATTTCAGCAAAACATTGTTTAGATCACTTGGACGGACAGGCGTAAGTCGCTTTGTCGCAATTTATTGTAGTACTCAAACTCGAGTAACTTGATTGTCTGATCATTGTCATACAGTTGAATAATTTCTGTGCATTAATCTGTTTTATATACAAGTTAGGGTGTAGAAACTACATTTGAGGCTTCGAATCACTAAAATTGACCGCAATATACGGCTTTAGGTGGATAGCAGTGTCATAGTGAGCGGAAGGCAACAATACACTAGCTCCTCTCAATTATCTACATTTGATTCATACAGTGATACTGATTGGTACGCAGCCGTGCACCACCAAATTTGTGCACCAATCAGCCTTGAAAGGAACGCCTAGCATATTTCCGGATGACCACCAATCAGCCGTGGATTAAGCCATCTGTCGGTAACCAGCCCATGACATCATCTTGCTTTAAATATTAGGAGCTTTACGCCACCATATTCTGAAACGAATAGCCCAGAGAGTAATGGTTGTCCACCACTGAACCTTGCACCAAATCATCACTTCATACCCTGACTTTAGCTTGAACTGTAACTTGCAGACAACGGACTGTGACCAACCAGCCCAGGTTGCCTGTGGAACTGCATGCATCCCGCCGTCAATGCCGTGCACCACCAGACTGTCACTTTTAGCTCACAGCATTGGGGGTTAGGTTTCAGAAAGCATATTTCTGTTCCAAAATCTATAGTCCTTTGACAAGCGACTTCTACAGCTTTGCTAAATTACATAACTTTTAGCTCACAGCATCTGAGAATAGGTTTCAGATAGCATAGTTCTGTTCCAAAATTTATTGACGTACGATGCGTGGTCATTTGACCATAGGCTGATTCAACACACAGGACAGATACGGACCGCTGCGGCACACTCCGTCCGGGTGGGGTAAAATTTTTTTGCATATTTGCAGATGACGCTGGGCCATACGAAGTCAGGCTTATTTTCCTGTGGGCTGATTGGTCTATTTCAATGGATGTGATCTCACTGCAAAGTGACAAACAACAACCAGAGATTTTTTAGAATCAGTTCATTTTTAATTTCCTCATTTACTCAAGACTTAAACCAATTTCTTATGTAAGATAATGCTGGTATCCATGATACTTTACTGGTCTACTTATAGGACTCAAAAATGAACTTTAGGGAGAGTCTAAAAAATTCTCTGCTTTGCCACTATGGGCCACTGATCTGTCTGGTGGCCTGCAGCTGATAATGTTAGGGAGCGCAGCCGTCCAGTGCGTGCACCACCAATTTTGAGCACCAATAAGCCCTGAATCCAACGCCTTAAATCTCTCTGGATCTACACCAATCAGCCGTGCACCACTCGGCTTTGTCCTCTTCCGGCCTTGACCACCAACTGCCGTGCACCACCAGGCCACAGATTGAATATGACTCCTAGGCATTGTTAAATTACGTTATTTTACGTTCACCGCATGTGAGGTTAGGTTTCCACCATTTCAGATAGCATAGTTGGAAGTTCTATTAAAAATTTTATTGTCCTTTGACAAGTGGCCGTTTGACTGAGGGCTGGTTTGACCCACAGCCTAGATACGGACGGCTTGAAGTGTTGAAGGCTACATTCCGGAAGGCAGAAATCATGATGGTCCATTACATTCAGGGCAGTTGTGATCTTCGGCAGGCGACCCCTTCAGGGATGGGATCATGATAGCCCATTCGAAGCAAGGCAGTGGCGGTCTCTGACAGGCGTCCCTTATGGGATGCATGCCAGAGGCCAGCATTGCCCAAGACCAGCATATCTTTCATCCTCCTTTCCGTGCGTAAGCCTGCTAAAGGGCAGAGTAGACTAAGGGATTATATGTTAAAGGGACCGGCTACCCTCCAGAAAAACTTCTACAGTTATTATCTGATCATCATGAAACTTCACATACATACGTAAAATGTAAAAAAAATAACATTTTGCTTCCATGAATTTTGCGAAGACATTTATAGAAAACGTTAAATTGATAGAAAATGGCTAAAAATGGGTACTTTAGAAAATCTATCTCCTCCTACAAATATCATCCTACAACATCGAAACATGTATCATTCGATTTGTAAAGACCATAGCTATAGATTCAAACATGGGTTTTTTCATTTTCCCCATAGTTTTTTTATGCGTGTTTTTCTCATTTTTCCCCCCCTCCCCCCCCCCTTCTCCCCCATATAAAAAACAAACCAGACAGAAATTCAAAAAAGTGATGTTCAAATCGATAGGTATGGTCTTTACAAATCAAATGGTATATGTCTCATTGCTGTAAGCTTGAAAACTGTAGGAGGAGAAAGGTTTGCCATGAGAGCAATAGAAGGTTTTCACCACGCCCAATAAACCTGGGCGCGGCATGTAAAATGACGTAAAAGAGTCGTAACATAGCCTAGATACCGTAACTAAGCCTCAAACCAAGTCAGCAAGGCTTAGAGCGACTGGCTGCACACCTCTCACCTTGCTGTCATGATGGTCACTGACTGCATTGGCGACAGCAGGCTGTATTTATAGTCCCGGCTTCCATTTACGCCCATAGCAATTAGTGAAGGCCCCCAAACACCGCCCCTCCCCCCCGTGTACGCGCATCGTGTACATAAAAATGCACATAGTAAGATGTTTCGGGTACCGTTCGACGTATCAGAAAGTAAGCTTTAAGATGAGCATAAGCACCAGATAATGCCATAATTGGCCGCTTTACATCAGACGTTCCTTTTTAGTTTTTAGTGTGTCCAGCCTTCGAATTAATCCCATAGACTTTACTGAAGGGCCCTTGAAACTGCCTCCCTTTAGGGAGCTGTCACGAAATCATTTTTTTATGTAGAGAGATGATTCTGGTCCCATTCGATGCATCAGAAAGTAAGCTCTAAGATGAGCACAAAAACTGGAAAATGCCAAAATTGAAAATTTAGGGGTAGCCCGTAGCCGGTCTCCTTAAAAGACAAAGGTACAAATCCCCTTCATGGAAATTAACCAGTGAGCTAATGAGAAGTAAGCCACCAATACAATCTCTCTACACCATATTTAAAACCGCCCAACAGCTTTATCCCATGCCGTCCAACCTCCTCACAATTTTTGGTAAGCAACTCCCTACGCCATACCGCTGTTGATACACAACCAGCACTCCAGCCTGTCCGTTTGTCGCAGCTTTATAGGCAAATTGATGGTCTAGGCATGGGTCTTCCTCTCGGCCCTACCTTTGCTAATATTTTCATGTGTTACCACGAGGCTACATGGCTGGCAAATTGTCCTATTGATTTTAAGCCAATTTTCTACAACCGATATGTAGATGATACATTTTAACTTTTCAAACATCCCTCTCATGTGGACCATTTCTTTGAATATCTTAATCGGCAACACAAATCGATCAAATTTACTATGGAGCTTGAATCCAACAATAGTTTATGCTTTCTCGATTGCAAGGTCATAAAATCCGGTGGCTGTTTCCAGACATCTGTGTACAGAAAATCAACGTTTACCGGCTTAAGCACCAGCTTTTTTAGCTTCTGTTCTTGCTGAGGTGGTTCCCAAACGTGACGATAGGAATCGCGTTTATTGTTCTTTTCCTTACTTTGGCCCCGCATCTGAGACGATGGCAAAGGAGTTGAAAGATCTATTCTCTAAATACCTCCCAAATGTAAATCTTAATGTATTGCTAGTGAACAATTTTAAAATTAGCTCGTTTTTCAAGTACAAAGATCCTCTCCCTGTTCTTATGCGATCATTTAGATAAGTTAAACTTAAATTGAAATGTGCAAAATACAGGTCTATACTCTAGCTTTACTCACCATAAATTGCTGGCTCCTGCCTCTCATAGTTTTGATGTAATTTAAAAAAAAAATGATGGTCTTTGTTACCCCAGCTCTTGGGGTTTCTTTGACCGGGTGGTAAAATCAATTTTATTTTTTGGTAAAATAACTCCAGGTTGTGGTGCATTGTAGTAGAACTCTTCTAGTTACATATGCAAAAGACAAATTTTAGGAAAGTGTCATAGTTTGCAAATGGGGGGCGCTGCCCCCAAATGGGCAAAATGTGATCATCTAATGGCAGCGGTGACGGGGTAACATAGACCGGTTTGGAAATTAAGTTAAAATTACCATATATAAGACTCTGTAGAGTCTGAAACATAAAGAAAAAAACATTAATAGGTGTATCATACATAAAATATGTTATATAGGTACCTATGGTAATTTTAACTTAATTTCCAAGCCGGTCAATGTTACCCCGTCACAGCTGCCATTAGGTGGTCAAAGTTACCCCATTAGGAGGCGGTGCCCCCCATTTGCAAACTATGACACTTTTCTAAAATTTGTCTTTTGCATATGTAACTAGAAGAGTTCTACTACAATGCATCAAAACCTGGAGTTATTTTACCAAAAAGTAAAAAAATTGGAGGGGGTACTCCGACAGGCTTTCAATAATAGCTCTTTTTCGTGGGTCACATTTTTAATTTTTAACCTATTAGATATGCAAACTTTCTAAATCTTTGTACAGCAATCCCTTGATTAGCACGGTTTTGAATACCGCGGAAAAAAATTTGCGACCTACCCTTAATCTACGCGGTGCCAGTTTTGATTAGCGTGCCTTTTTTTTCACAACGCATCATTTTCCCGCCTCTAGCCAGAGGTGTTACGTTCGTAACAAAAGTGTTACTTTTTGCTTATTAGATCTTATGTTGTTACTTTTGTTACAACTTTGGGAAAAATGTGCCAAATGTTGTTACTTTATGAATTTCAGTCAATAATTCTTTAAATAAGGTCCTGTTCCATAGGCACTCGTGCTGACTACAGAGTCGGTTTAACTGCGCCTTGTCTCGTTCATAACTCGAGTGGTCGAGTTCGGCAACGTTCGCCGGTACAGGGCAGGAAAAGTCCTATTTTTGTCTGAAATATCGCGGCTCTAATATCATATAATTTCAGTAGGTATGAAATCTCGCGGCTCGAATGTCATAAATTT